TCGTCATCCTCTACAAGAAAGGTCTCATGCAATTTTCTCGTAAGTCTAACAGTTTAGGAGTTATTGAGGAAAAACGAAATTTTTTGTCAAAAGTTCGCTGATTCGACGGTGGAATGGTCGGATTTTATCAGTACCCATAAAATGCCAAATAATCATACGTATCTCGTTAAATATCGAAATTAGAAGGAAACCAACTTTTATTTGAAGCATTTTTCGCAATTTTGAAAAAAAAAGTTTTTACTTTCAGATTCATCTCTAGCTAAGAAGTTGATAAATCTTTAAAAAAAAGATTGTATCCAACACGAAGTAGGGAAATAACGATTCGTGTTCGGGGAGGAAAAAATGGGATGAATTAACGAATTACAGATAGCGCACCGTTGAAATTTACAAGGGGACGATGTTGCACTCCCTTGCCGGCTTTATTCATCGAGTACACGTTCATCCAGCCTCGCCAGGGCTGTTGTTGCCCGTTCCATGCGAAATTCCCGTGCTCGCCGCTTATTTCCAAGCCATCCCGGCCGCAGTGTTGGAGATTTATTAGCGCGGAAATAAACCATCGCGCGAACTGAAAGTCGTTGTTCCTTAATTGAACCGTGTTTTCAACTGTGCACGGGAGTCACTTCTCCCGGATCCCGGGTATGTACGTATTGTACATGTGCGTACGTGTATGGATCAATTGTTCATCGATCCCGAACGATCTCGTACACCACATTGTACAAGAATGTTCTATTTTTTCTTTTATTGCATTGTTTTCTCTCTCATGATTCTTGCCGTTCATTGTTTAATATGAAATGGAACTTGCTTGAGCATGGATATCATAATTGAGGATAGACAATAGTATACAAAATTATTGAAGAATTAATGAAAATTAAATTACTTGACTGTGCAGCAAATGTTTGTTATTGGTTATCAAGTCTGGATAATCCGGCTCGTTAACGAATACTGTCAATGGTCCCTAAAGAATAGTCTAATTTCAATTATGATTTGAATCTGATTTCGAAAACGGACCTACGGTTAAATCGCTTAAATCTTTTGCTCTGACCCATTCGTATGGTTCTAACGACGGTGGTAACTGAACGACTTGCGTGTCGAGAAACAAATCATCCGGCCCGTCTACAAACAATTTTTATTATAATCTTGAGGATTAAATTCTTGCATGTATGGAATTACTTTTAGGAGTTGACCAGTTTTCCCTGTTCAAAGCAGCGTCGGACCATTCTTGCCACAAGACAGACTCCTCCGGTGGAGCCTCAAATATAGGTTCCGCGACCCTTTTTGACATTACAGACATATTTGAAGGGTTTAGAAAAAGACGATCGCCTTCGTACGAAAAATAATAAAGCTTCATTCGGAGCAGGAAACAATAAACGCCTCTCTTGTGGAAAAAGTATATGTATATATTTATTGAATCTCTGTATTGTACATAACTCTATAAGAATGAGATGCAAAGCTATGATCAAAAACAGATTTCATAAAAAACATTACAATTTAAAAAAATTCTGTTACCTCGTTAGTACCTAGTTCGCTATGGCAGCGTCGCGAACTGCTTTACGAAATTAAACATATACATTATTGAAGATATACATAGAATGCAGTACAAATGTAACGTCTACGAAAAATAGTTATTATCGATCTCCTCGTTATTATATAAACTCAATAACGAATCAGTAATGTTAGTTAGGTCATTTCAACGACGATAACGATGGCGAGCACGAATGACCACGACGATGAGCTTGTACGTTTATATCGTTAGAACTTTGTTTAGATCCATATAGTTACATAGTGTTTTGCTCAACAACAAGAAAAATAATACTACGATTCATACATACAGGAATTACAATTAGCTCTTGTACTTTCCTCTCGTTCTCTCTCGCGACACTAATCGACACTTCCCTACAATGATACTCGACGCGTTAAGTATAGTGATTTGGGTCAGGCTCGGTTCAGTTTTATAGTCGGTCTCGTAGTTAGTTTTGGTACATATATATTAATGTATATGTATAATAAGTAGGCGTGAGGCCTATAGGCCTCAAAATGCATACAATTACGCTTTGATAGATCGATAGAACAGCATAAATTATTAAGGCAATGTTTTATCTCTTTTTTCTTTTTAAAGATTCTTATCTGAAACATCTTTTTGATATCGTATTTTAGCGTGTATACAAAGATAAACGACGCGGAGAATTTACATTTATTTAAATCACTTATCGATAAAAGTAACCGTTTAGGATTCTAAATACGAGGATTTAATGAAATAGTTTTTATTTTCCCCGACTGTTCATCGTTTGAAAATTCTTGGATGCGATACGATGGGCTGTACCAAAGTGTATAAGTTGAAGAGTTCGTATAAATAGAATTCCTTTATGTATAATTAAGTTTGCTTGTAAGTTTCATTGCTTTTAAATGATAATACCGCTATAATGATATCTCGATTGCGATCGATCCAGTCTATCCAGGTATAAGCCCTCAACATTCCATTTAATGTTTGGAATGTGCAAAGTACATCAACGATAGAAACTGATTACAATATCGTAATCAAAGTTGTAAGGTCAATAATTATAATTATATGAGTCACAGTGATTACATTTAGATCAACGTACAATAGATGATACATCCGATGCAGAAAAATAGAGCAACATCTTTTCGAAAGCCAACAATTTTTTCTTTCACCTTTAATATTTCATTCTTAACAGATAAATTTCATTTGGCACCAATTCCATGATATTAAATCGCGAGTCGAAAAAAGGTTTTATGTGCCGGCACACAAGAAATAATTTTTATTGGTTGTATAACTCTCAGCCTGGCAGTGTTCATAATGTCACATTTTTGTCATTAAATTTTTAATCATTCTCTATCTGCCACTATAAACGTAACGGAGGATTACAGAAAGGCCGATGGAAAATTATTTTTATTCAACATCGCGCGACACTCTCCGATCCGTTGCACGTGTAACGTAGACTTGTACGTATGTGTACAGAATTTGGCACCATGTTATAAATACGGAATTAAAATAAGCAAAGGAAGGCCCTTTTATTACAAAATCAGTGTAAAATAATTGCAAAAATGCAGTATATCGCACTGTTTCGAGCATAAACGAGAACCAATGTCAGTGGACGGTATGTAACGGTATTGTACCTTGCAGTTTCCTAGAATCTGAGTCACACTCGGGCAATGAATCCATAGGATGCGAGCGGAATGCACAAATTAAGCACTGAACGTTTCATAAATTGTAAATGAGAAGACAAGAGGATGAGTAGTAGAATTACAAGCAGGAGAGAGGTGATTCATTACCATAGGACTTTTCGCGATTATAGGCGTGAACTTTCCTTAACTGGCCTTGCCAGGACCGGAAGCTCTTTGATCTTCCATTCGTCCAGCCTGAAGTCTTTGTATTAAAGCGAAAAGATCCTCTTCGGGAACAGTCGATCCGGCTTGAGCAGTTCCATTAGATCTTTGGTTGTGTTCCTCTTCGGCATCGTGGACTGTCGACGGCGCCGGTAAAGGGCTCCGTTGATCTTCCAAACGTGAACCCTGAATCACTTTATTATAAATTTGTCTGCCCTACGAGTTTAATTAAGAAAAAGGTAACTAAGCCGCTCGTACCTGACATCTCATCAGCATTTCAATGAACGAGTCATCGGAATCTTGATTACAGTTTAGGCCAGGTAAATAAGGCAGCGTTACCCGTTGCTCGTCCATTCTTTTACTTTGCATACCAGCGATTAGCTCTAACAAATCATCTCCATCCCTGAGAATACAAACGATGTTAGTGCGCGCTAATTAGATTTCTTTTTTCTGTAAACGTACACGTACTTATCGTCCGATTCGCATTCTTCGGGGGCGATTGTTCTGAACTTTTGATTACGATTTATATTTAATGCACAGCGTTGGTCGTCCATTCTACCAGATTGAAACCGTGACAAGAGATCAAAGAAACTGTCATCTTCCTTTTGAGTAAGTTGTGGTGTCACGTTGTTACTTTTGTCAATCTGAGACTCGGCTTGCTCTTTTAATTTTGCGTCCGGCGTGAGCTAAATTAAAATATAGATTTAATTACGAATTCATATTTCGGTTTTGATATAGAATATTGAATTCATCGTGTCTCAGCAAATCAAATGGTGCTTACTTTGATGAGATCCAAGTTGTCCATGCTTTGTCGTCTAAGTCTATATCTACATGGCGAAGATATATTAACGTTGGAACTCGTATTGGTCGAAAGTTTTTGCGCGATATTTTCTTTATTATTTTCTTGTTGCCCTTTTCCCAAACCCAAAATCTTTTGCAGATCGTCGACATTCATTTGCGCGGTAGCTTGTCCCATCGGATCTTCCAGCTCTTTTGATATGATCAGGTGTCGGTTGGCGTAGTGCAACGCTTTTTCATGGTTTCCCATTGCAGCATACGCGTTGCCTAAAGACCAACAGGCACGTCCCTCACCTACTCTGTCCTTCAGCTGTTGTGCTATTTCAAGATGCCATAAATGGTATTCTATAGCAGTTGGATAGTCTCTGAGCAGAGTGTACGTGTTTCCTAGGGAATAGCATGCTTGTGCCTCTACCTCTCTATCTCCTAATTCTTGTGCAAGGACTAGAGTTCTCCTAGAGTGAAATACAAAGGAAATGTTTACTCACATAACGATCGACCGATTAAAAGAGTAAATTTATTGCAAATACACACTTGTAATGTTGTGCAGCTTTTTCAAATTCCCCAAGAAATATGTGAGAGTTTCCTAAATTACTGTTTGCTCTCCTCTCAGCAGCCTTGTCACCAAATTCTCTGGCTATTTTTAACCTTTCATTATGATAATAAATTGCCTGCTCAAAATCACCCAATAAGTAAAATGTGTTTCCTAAGTTTCCACAGGCTCTGCCCTGAGCAGCAGAATCTTCCAATTCCTTCATCAATTCTAAGTTTTCTCTGTTATGAAAATTCAATTAATAAATCAAATGCATTAATCGGTGGCTCAGAAGTTTTTATACTTACTCGTAATACCGTACTGCTTGCTGCAAACACTGTCTGACATCCTCTGAAAATTCTCCAGGATCTTGATGACCAGCCCTACCAGCTTGTTTACCTTTGGCATGATACACATTTCCTAAATTGTACAAAGCTCGTCCTTCGCTGAGCTAAAGGAAAAACTGCTTTAAACAAGTGCGACATAAAAATGCAAAACGATTCTTCAAGCATGCATATGCATACCTTGTCACCAATTTCTCTTGATATTTCCAAGTGTCTTTTACAGCAGATCATAGCCTCGTCAAACTTTCCCATGACTTTCAATGTATTCCCCAAATTTCCACTAGACTTGGCTTCGCCCAGTTTATCACCCATATTACGCGCAAGGGTCAAATCCAGTTTGTGGTATTGCATCGCTTTCAAATAATCACCGAGGTAAAAATAAGCATTTCCTAACTGGCTGTAAATTGCACTTAAGATTCGCAAGTCATCCGTGCCAGCTTGTATAGCAGCTTGGAAAAATGCTACCCCAGATCTGCAGTCTCCGGCCTTACAGAGCCGCTCACCCTCGAGAGCCAATTCAAGGCACATGTTCCACCTTTCACTATTCTGTTAAAAATATAAAAAGTTTCATCCATCATACTATTGCCCATCATACAAGTTCTATATTTTTCCATACAGTATGATATTTGAATTGTAGAAAGATTAAGTCAATAGGAGAAATAACTACAGAGTACTTTATGTGTTTACAATATGGTTTCACTGTAATAAAAAGAGTGGAAAGGGTATTGGAATGATCATGGGAGTGGCTGGACATGCAACTGCAATAAATGTATTACAGACACAACAGTTTATGCTAATATTCTAAATTCCTCTCTATGACTAATCAAAACACAGTATAAAAATATTGTAAACTTCGAAATAATTTTTGTATTAGAAATACATACGTACAATAAGTAAAGGGAAAAAAGGCACATTATGTTCAACATTCCTAGTTTCTCGATAAGTTTTCTCGTTTAAAAAATCAAGGAATACTATGGAAGGTAAAATATGAGGAAAATTACTGGAAGTGAAATAATTGTACAGAGAATAAGACGATCATAGAAGTGCATGAGTCACGCATGGAAAAGCGTAATAATTAGTAATAAGTATGGGGTTTGCTTACTTGTCCTTCGGACGATAAATTTTCTGCGCTCGCACTTAGAGACATCGTGTCCCTTCCTGTCTTCGTTGCCCACGCGAAGTAACAACTAGCCTCTAGAATTTCGCGAGCGTAAATAACGCTTGTTTTATGTGTGCGATGGACGGTTGCTCAGGTCGCGATTAGAATTCAGGATTGAAAATTTTTCACGCATCGTGGCCCTACAGTTTTCAGTGTGTCGCAATTTCCTCGCACAGTCGCACGGCTGCGTCCCGCGTGCTTTTCCGCAAATGAAAACGCGCGTCACTTTTCGTTTTGCATTCAATCTCGCGACCGCAACAAACCCTACCCGTACAATTCCCAAATGCAACTGACCAAAAATTGAGCGTCCAAACAAATGGCGCTGATGCAATTCTGTTCCCCAGCGCACTCTGCATTCAGCATTTCTCTAGGTCTCCCACTTTCCCGGCTGGATTCAGCCATTTGCCTTTCGTGCGCCTGTGGGACTCGGCCGTGGATGTGCTTAGATGGTGTTTTATCGTACGACGCGTTGCGTGATTTATTGAGTTTTTTACCGTCATTTACAGTGCAACTAGAGTTAATCTGTGCAATATGATACATAGTCAAGGAAGGAACGTAGAACGTAAAGAAATATAATTAAAGGTGAACAGAAATAGTATATGTATTCGGCGAAAGTGAAGGTTCCAAGTCGCAGTGAACGAAACGACAACAAACCTGGTGAAGTGAAGAAGGAGGAGAGCCCTTTGGGTCATCATCAAGGAAGATTTCTTAATCGTTTCGAATGGATACACAACCTCTTTACTGAATAATTTTCATCTCGATTTAAGAATTTAATCTTTATCTTAAGACGAGAATATTTCATTTTGACTGTAGCTAATACCAATGTCGTGTGACTTTTTTTTATCTCATCTCCGGGTATAGGAAGTAAGTTAGATTAATAATGAGCGATGATAAAAAGGTAGGTGAAAATTCCAGTAGTGAGGTTGTTAACCAGTTTCGAAGCTGTAGGGATCTCAGCGATATCGTGCCCCTGTACGCGCCACGCGCGCTTTACTTAAAACCAGTTGCAAAGATAAACGTTTCTGTTAATCTTCCACAACTGAAAGTTTCAGGTAAAATCGTCACGAATATTCCTTGTTCTTTAAATACTTGAGTTATCCATTCATCTCGTCCATCGATCTTTTATTCACTCGTAAATCGCTCGAGAATATTTTCTCATATCCATCATCTTTCAAGTGGACTTACAGAACTTCAAAAGACAAATGTATTGTCCATTAATTTATATGAATTTTCCTAACAGGGAACGACGTTGTTGCATTTAATTCTGTGCAAAATCTATAATTATACTCGATATTTTTAGCATAACAGGTTTTTACAGAAAATTAACTGCGATATGAACAGGAAAAACAATATCAACATGGGAAGTAATGGAGAAGATTCGTTCCTTTATACTACCGGACGAGTTTGCGTCTCTGAAGGTAGCCAAGAGCACGCTGGAATTTATCAGATTGGAAGGAGACCTGCAAGACAGATGCAGACTGCAGCGTATACTTGCAAGACTGGATTCTCAGCGCCTGAATCTCTCTGGATTTTCGAACGTGTTGAAAGTCCGCGCGGCAGAGGCGAAGGATGATTTCCCAACGAGGCACAGTTGGGATTCTTATTTTAGAGACGCCAAGCATATGAACGAATTGAAGCCTGGTGAAAGGCCTGACACAATACACATAACAGGCTTACCTGTTAAGTGGTTCACAGAGGATGGTGCGACCGTGCCCAGTGAATCCTTGATTACCAAGATCTTCAAAAAGTGGGGAACGCTAAGAAGAGTCGATGTACCTGCTGCAGATACTTACAGATCTAGAATGAGGCTTGGCACAAATATAAATAAGTTCAGTTACGAAGATGGGATATTTTTTGACGCGTACATTCAGTATGTCGAATACATGGATTTTGTTAGGGCCATGGACGCGTTGCGCGGTATGAAACTTCTTAAAAAGGAAGGCGGGAAAGCTTTCACAGCTGCCATGAAGGTGCGTTTCCGATAAGAATGATGTTCATCAAGTTTTATAGATTTTATTGTAGTTGTATGTGTGTATAAGTTTGTAGATAGATGAAATGAAGAATATAGTTTTTATATTAAACATGTTACGTAGATTACATTCGATAAAACGAAACACATGAGTGATAGCTCTGTCGCGCACAGAGAATTTGAAAGGAAACGTCTTATAGCACAAGATACATTAGCGGCAGAACGACTTCGTAGAAAAGAGGAAGCGGAAGAAAAACGACGCGAAGAACTGAAGTAATTAGCAGCAATGTTTGTGGCTATAAACGTAACATAAAAAGGATGTCTAAGGTTGTGGTAAATGTTGTTTAGGAAAAAAGAAGAGGCCGATGCGGTATCTAGGGAAAACAGACGAAAAAAGAGAGAAGAGAAACGCAAACGTAAAGCTATAACTATATTTCGTAAAAAGGAGGAGGATAAAGTGTCTCTTAAAATTGCCAGAGAAGGACAAAAGTTAATACGAGCACAGAGGCAGCTGGAAAGTATTCGCCTTTTAGACGAATTGTTTGATAGAATAAAGGTAGAATTTAGCAATAGACGGTATTTCGCCGTAGTGATGAAACTCATTTTTCATGTATCGTTGTAGATTAAATTAGAAAATAATGAAATCAAAATAGACGAGGTAACAAGTACGGATGCGAAAAAGGATGAGCGAAAGAACAATAAAGTGGATGGCGCTATAGAGATCTTAAGCTCTGAAGAAGATTCGAAGGATGGAAAGAAAGACAAGAAAGGAAAAAAGTTGAAAAAGAAGAAATCTAAGAAGGAGAAAAAGAAAAGGGTAATGTTGCAGATATATTTTGGTGTACTTTTATTTTACAATTAATGGTACCTTACAGAAGAAACGTAAAAAGGGTAAGGATTCGGAAAATTCAGCAAGTTTAAGCGAAGAATCAGGCACGGAAGAGCAAACGAAAAAATTGAAAAGTGTTTTGAAACAAGACGTTACATATCCATCGTCATCGACTGGTAAGTAATTATTAGTAAAAACCAATATTTATATTGTTAAATACGTTCGGTTAATAGACATTTTTTTTACAGCCTCGCCTATGAAATCTTCCTACCCGTTTCACCTTCCATCTCTTTATCCTCCACTTTATCATCCACGTCTTCCACAGCCGTGGTACTATGAACCAGCTCTGCCTATGATTCATCCCGCTTTACCGAGAAATATGTCCAGGGGCGGTCGTTTCGGCCGCGGAAGAGGCTTTGCTTATCGCAACGCGGGAAATTCTAGCTCCGTACAGACGTTCAATCCTCATTTATACAACGAGCAGTACTATAAGTACTTCGCTCATCTAGTAGGTCAGGATTATCAGTCCTTCGCCTATAGAAGCTCACGGTCACGTAGTCGTAAGAGGTCGTTCAGCAGATCTAGGTCAGGATCTAGATCGAGAACACGGTCAAGAACCACATCGAGGTCAAAGTCACGGTCTCGATCTCGATCTCGATCTCGGTCTCGGTCACGGTCTCGTTCACGATCGAGATCAAGGCTTCGCTCAAAACCCCGTTCGAAGTCAAGATCGAAGTCGCGTGGGAAATCAAGATCGCGGTCAAGATCGAAAAATCGAAGACGAAGTAGGAGCAGATCGCGGTCGAAGAAACGACGAGGAAGATCGAAGTCGAGATCACGATCGCGACGGTCAAGATCCAAGAGAAAATCACGTTCTAACTCGTGGACCGATAGTAAACACCGTTACAGACGCAGGCGTGATAGATCTGCGTCAAAAGTAAAGATCACGAGAGCCAAGTCTCGCAGTGTATCACCGAAAAGGAGATCTCGTAGTAGCACGTGGTCGATGCCCAAATCTCCCGGCAGACGAAGCTGCTCTTGGTCGAAGAGCGTGGATAAGGATGCCTCAAGAGATAAATCAACGCGTGAACAGAATAAGGAAACCGCGGACAAAGGAGAAGCGCCACAAGCATCTCACTTGGAGAACATAACTTCAGACTGACAAGAATCGAACTCTATTTTTTCATTTGGTATCTCTGATCCTGTCGCGTAACCGTAATGTCGATACTTTACATGAATTCGATGTGAAACGTAATAATTATCACTCGAGTCAGTAGCGTATATTTCTTTGATAAAGAAAAATATATATTTTTATTTACGCGATGGTTTTTCCTAGTCCTGAATGATTCTGTATAGTACACAGCAATTTGTAAACGTAACATTACGACTGTGTCGAACTATGAATCTGTATATATGTTGCGAACGATGTAATCGAAAAACGATTTAGAGTGTACCGCATTTTTATCTCGAAAATAAATATGACATTGATACGTTGGTCATCTTCCTAACATAATCAGTACATTAAGATCTGCAGTATTGTAAGAGCGCAGTACATATAATTTTGGGGGGTAAGGAAAGATACAAGGTAGAGTCTAGTTAAAGAACAGACAAACATGTCCGACTTGCAAATTTTATTTGTTTTTCGGCATGAAAATGCATTGGTTCATAAACATCGTTAGTTCATTACATCCCTAATCCCTTCGTGAAGGATCGGAGATCGTTTTTATTTTTTTTTTTTTCTTAGCAGCGTTCCTCGGAGATACACGCTACGAATTAAAGATTTTTATCTGGTGCTTCGCTTGATATTTAATTAAGTCGCCTATGATTAACAAGGATGATCGAAGTCGATCGGTTTTATTCTGTCTCTCACTTTTTAAACTTATTAGTGCCTTGATTAGCACCGCGCGCTCGCGTCTCCGCTCGATCGTTTCGCTTTTCGTTTCTCTTTAAAAATATGTGCTACTTTTTTTCTGTTTTCTTTTGTCTTCTCACCGCTATGTTTATTATATAATAATATTTATATATACAATATACACCTCGCATCGCTTAATCATCACTCGTTCATTTCGAAATAACAATATCGATTTTTGTTCTTTTCATTTTTTACAATCGATGTTCTATATAATGATATTCAATCTAATGGAAGATTCTTCATCATTTGCTTGAACATCATTCACTTTAAAAGTGTTCGTCCTATCTCTCCTCCCGTGGTTTTTAGTTAAACGTGATTGGTGTCCCACGTTTACACGAATTTTCGTTCGCATTATTTTTTCATGTTTTCTTAAATCGTCTACCGCTACGATATCTTCGAAATTGATTAGATATTGACTACTTTCAAGATTCGTTGCGTGGGAATTGTAGTTTTTCTTTTTAGATATATTCCGTCGCGTGACCATAGCGTTCGTCCACGATTTCCGGCCGCATCATAGATTCCCCTCTCCCTTTCTCTCTCGTAATTATAAATTAATTGTAGCCTGGACAATATTTTTTTTTTTCACAGGATGAACGCTATCGTCCGCGTTCATTCGATTGGTGATCGGAGGAACGAATTCAATTAGTTTTTATAAAAAATTTATATCCAATTATGATATTCATAAAGAATAACAATCTAATCAGCGTTCTAACTTTTTAATGGAGGAGGAAACAGTAGTATATAAAATAAGTATTGATTAAAATTTCACAGTGACAGACGACGGATATAAAACAATATTTCCTTTTATTTTTCCTCTTTTAAAAAGAAAACAGCCTAGTTGCCCCTCGAATCACCGACGCAATTTATCTCGATACATAATTACTCCGCACCGTTCTCTATGAATTAACACAGTCGCCACGTTCTCGTTTTATCGATCTCGCCTCATTCACTACGGTGTTCATTCTACATGTGAATCGTCCATTTTCCAATGGTAAAGCTTCTAAAGTTTACTCAGTCAGCGTACTACATAGGTACAAAGAACCCTCGCGGAATACAACGGGTAAATCGAACCTGGGGAATAAAAAAGTCTGAAATAAAAGCCTGAAGTTCTTCTTCGCTCACACATTGTACAGGCGCAGTGACATCGATTATATCTATTTAATCTAATCGGTTCTTACCCACGCGACAAACGATGTTGCAGTTAATATTTGGCTACGAACTCACTGACTCCTTCGAGCAGCGACGCTAATTTATTCTCTGTTTCTATCTACGTCCACTTCATCCTTCCACCTTACTCGATATTGTTTCGTTTTTTACCTCGGAATTAGAAAATTAGCAAGAAATACAAACGTCTTTCGGTTCTTCTAAATTCGATGGACGCATCGAAGTAGTTGGGAAATGAACGACCCATAGAATTTAAAATTTGTTCGCAGTTGAGCAAGCATCACATGCTTTATCATTTTGCCAGCCACCATCTCGTAACGTATTTACAGAACAAGTAGATACTAGCGCGATACCCTGTTGGGTCTTACTCTTTTCGTAATCTAGACCTGTTTCGATGGGCTGCCACACCGAAAGAAAACAAGCAAGATGCAGTTCTCTTAAAAATCTTTGCCTCAATTAGGCTGTTTTCTATTATGCTAAGTCAAATGCTAAATGAAACATTTCAAATTAATTTTTATATTTGTATGTATTTACGCCGTGACAAATAATTCGACTTTATGTTTCTTTTCATCATTAGCAATTTAAATGTACGTAATACCGCGAATCGCCGTTACCTAAGTTACACGGAAGTTAGCCCCGCGTGTTTTTGATACAATTGGACTTGCAAAGTGTAACAGAGTAACAGAGCCCTCGGATCCTTCCCCGACGTTTTGTTCCAACTATGTCCCATGTTCTGTACAGATTGTCTGCGAGTGAAACTCTCCGTAAACTTACATAATCAACCTGTACAATTGCGAACGTCGACGACACTCGCGTAGCATCGGACCCACGAGAAAGTAATCGTCCGAGAGAATCTGAACAAAAACGCAGTTTGACTGCACGGTCGTTGATTAAAACGTAGGCGAACAGCTGGTTTCTCGACGCACCAACCCATCTTGGATGCTTTTACGTATGAGCGCTTCGACGACGAAGCAAGTGCTTTAAATTACTCGATAAACATTTTTTGGCAATTCTATCATTGATTCGAAAGAGAAAATTTCTATATGCGTTAAATTTACAGAACGTATGATTGAAAACGAGATGGAAACTGATTCATAAAATCAATTCGTTGTAAATCATAATAGATAAAAATTATTTCCGATATGTGACCTAATTCGTGATCATCAATTTTTACAGCCCGATAACGATTGATAAAGACTTCAGATTACGTGAAATCACTTTCGTGAGCGGTTCGTTCGATGAAAGATAATTTTCAGTAGTACGAGTCAGCCATGCATCAGCCACAGACGCGGGCGGTGGAAATGACTGCTTGTGAATAGATCGGCTGACTTGGAAACGATTATGCGAAATGACGGACGAATAAAATGATATTCAGGTAACGAGGGAGTAATGGAAATACAACTGCATCTTGTGCGTTTTCTTTCAATGGCAAATAGTGCGAGAAATAGGGAAATACAGATAGAGAGAGAGTTCATTAAAAAAGACTGTTTCCCCTTAAACTCGTGGTCGCTAGATCATCCTATATAGAGATTAATAGGTAGTACATTACTTAAGTAATTCTTTGGTCATTTTATGTAACAGTTAAACGGCGACAGCCTGTAGCTAGGTATTATTTGGTAGAGATCTTAATAAACTGGTTGAAAGTTTCTTAAAACCGTTTAAACGCTACAGGTTATTCATCGTAGGTAATAATCATGAACGGTAATAATCATAATAATCATCCGTAATAATAACAACGGTAATAAATGATTAATACATTGGTAGTAACGCAGTTAACGCTTCGTATAAATCTTTCGGAGAGGCCGCCCTTCTCCGATATTATTCTTTCCCTTCTTTTCATCGCTTCCCTCTGTGTTCGTTATTACGCCGTCTCTTCGTACGTTTCTCTAAAGACGACCGATCAAATCGTTCACGATTTTCGTACTATTCGCGATAATTTTCATCGATCGCAACAGGAGAGGAAAAAGTATACGAGGGTTGTAACATGGAAATAACGTGTCTCTCTGTTCAACTATTATTTTTACGTACGTATAAATGTTCGGTTTTTTTTATTCTACGTTCCACTTACGCCTGATCGTTCGTTCATCATTTTCTCGTGTTAGATACACGTACGTACATTAGCTGTAACTTTTAGTGATCGTGTGCGCATTTTTCTTGTTTGATCTCCTTTTGTATACCTATATATTCCGTTTCTCGCGACGCATTTTCGTGATTGACAGCGTTGTTGACGATTCACTGGCGCAATCAAACGAAACGGAGCCGTTGCCTTCACGCATGTTCCTTTCACCACCGTGAGCACGGGAATCCGTTTCATTACACTGGCATGCGCTCGGACACATCAAACAGGTTCGAAACGTAGCAATATATCGATTGAAATAACGTGACTGTCCGTACGTGGGCTCAAGTTGCCGATCTTAAATTAAGCTCGAGTAAGTCTTTCGAAGGGTGAAGTTGAAAACAAAATGTCGTGAAATCGACACTTTTACCTTGTCCTGTTTACATTATAGGAATTTCGTATTTCACATGGATTTTCTATAACAAATGATAAAGGGGAGAGAGCACTCTTATATCCGATCACGCTGCTTCGCATCTCAGCAAGCTTTTCCGAGCTCATCGAACGTACAAAATACATACATGTAATTATGTATATGTACACATATAAAGTATTACATTTAAACATTCACGAAACACTCGACGCACGCGAAAGTACAACGATATTTTTAATGGTTGTTAACGTCGCGCCTCTGAACACAAAAGTGTCCCTCCGTGACTCCATAGAGACGTAAGTATGTACGTATATGTATATGTATAAACTCTGCTCGCGAAACAAAGGCCATAATGCACGTCTCCAACATTATACCTACGTATGTATATATATACACTATATACTATAATATCGTGTATATTACGTAATATAGTATACACATATGTATGTACAGGTATAAACATATAAATGAACCTCGGCGTATTTGCGGCCAGGAAGGAAGCTGCTTCGTCTCCACGGTTTGTTCTCGTTACTCCAAGTAATTTGTTCTTAATAAACACGTTTACTGACCAAGTCCTCGTTACAAAAGATCGGATTTCTCTTTCATTCGTTCGTTTCGCACAACGATAAGTAAGCACACTCTTGTACAGACGAAGCGCTTCGTCCCGTGCACGCATGTGGTATATAGATGTTGCGCGTATGAACGTATGAAGAAGAATCGTCGATGAAACGATTTCACTCGGGCAATACACACGCAGACCGCTGCGCCGGTTGAAAGATCCTTCTCCATGGGTTGTATCACACAGTAACGATTCCGTTTTCCCTCCTCCTGCGCGTTCCTCTGCTCGCAATCCGTCGCTGTTAAGATATGTCTGACCGTCCAGCCAACGAATCGATCTCTATCGTCTCTCTTTTGTCTATCTGTGTTCTGAATAATCCGGCAATATTTCAAGCATCGGACCGTTTGGTTTTTAAAAACGAAATTCCCGCTGATATAAAACCATGGACCGGAGTGCGATTTGTTTCTCGTTCTCTCCAGTCCTCAACGATTTATTCGAAATAATCAACATTTACAATTGGCTTTTTAACGAGTATCATTTATTTCGAGAAGGTACTGTTGTCACAACTGAAAAATATTCCCCCGTCGCGATTGAAAAATTGCACTTTCCTCGTTCGATCCAATCATCAATCCTCCCGTCGGTGTTCGATGTTAATCTCTCGTATAATTTCGCCGTTCGAATGAACAGATGACAAATCCTCCCGAGTTGTTCGATGCATGCGTAGGAGACTCGCGATTGCAGTCGTCATTCTAATTTTATGCCAATTAGCAATGAACGACACAGTGGAATAATATGTCCACCCTCCGACCTTTCGGATCGAGTAATCATCGGCTCGGTTTGGTTCCATCGTGAAATATCGCGCCTCACGTGTACAAACACGCGCTGATTCATGTTCCATCCCCCATGTTCGATCCGTGGGAATTCTTGTCTGGCGAACGCGTGCCTTATGATCAAATGCGCCGCTTCGTCGACGACCGCGACGTCGTCGATATCGTCCAGCTACTTAGTTATAATACTTATTTAGAGACTCGGTCCCCTATATCGCCTAATGCTTCGATATCGAGACAGCTTCGTAATAACGTGTCTATAACGTGTACTTACTTTTTTTTTTTTTACTTTATTCTTTTTATACTTGGCATGGTCTTCCTGGCACTATAATGCACTTTTAAGAAATCTATATAAAAATATCGTGTGGAGTCGTCGTGTCCAGTATGTTGAGCCGCGACAGAGAGAATTAGAGAGAAGGAGACGAAAACAGGAAGGAGGGACAGATATAGAAAAAGGTTGAGTGTAACGTTCGTAAGATAACGGAAAGAGAAGTGTAGGATGGGTAGAGATAAATAGATAGAGACTAGGAGAAAGAGAGAGATTCGATGGAGGCAGCGAGACTAGAGGGTAGAAGACAGAAGGGGAATGAAAACGTTTTGTGACAATTGTCTTTTTTTTTTTTTAATCTTTGGTCCCGTTTCGCGTTTCGGAGTAGCCGCGAAACAACGCTTTTCGAAATGAAACAATGACGGACAAGACAAACCAGGTCCCAACATTTTGTTGCGGAAACGGACGCTCGACCGTTCATTTCTGCGGGCAGAGAATAAGTCTCCTTCTCCTGTTTTTTTTTTTTAATCCTTCCGGAGTTGATTAACAAACCATTCTTCCCTTCCTCGCAAGCGTGCGTGAGCGTGTATGTGTGCGCGTTTTCTCTCAACTTTACGGTAACAGTCTGGGAACACGTGACCCGTTTCCAATAAGCTGAATCGATCTCTCTTCCTACTTATTCTTCATTTTCGTGTTTTTATTCCTCTTCGAGACCTTCGATCTTATCTGCCCTCAAAAATCTCGATCTTCAGGTTCCCTTAGTTTCTCTATCGATCTCACGATCTTTTTTTTGTATTCTACTATTTGTTTTTCATTTATTGTTCTCCCGCCTCGTTAATCGCCGTTGTTCACGGCGTACGTACGTGTGTGTTCGTTTCTCGGAAGTCTGAACATCTTCGGGATTGATCAATCATCTGAGAAGAACGAATTTCTGCGCACCGTCGCGTCGCGTCGCATTTTAACAACGAGCGAACGTAACAACACGCCGAATTATTATTGTGCTCGAAATTAATAATATATTACGAAACGATGCATTACGGAATATCATAATATATTATTAATATAGTACGTGTAACTTCATCTGTGTCCATGTATTCTGGTTTCCGTGTGTACGTGTACGTATGTACAGAACGCGTGGTGTGTGACCGGCCCCGTCGAAGAAATTAATCGTCGCGTCGCGTGACGCGATTAATTTCGGCCGACGCGGCTCGTTAACGTGTGCTCGTCGTGTTTTAATCCCCCCTTCCGTGGATCGCGTAGTCAACGTCGACGTTTAGTATCAATTAACGTAATTAACTCGATTCGTACGATCGCGCCGACGCGATGTAACACCGTTAGGTACGGTTTCCGTATCGGATGGTAAATATCGGTGCGATCGCGTTTGGCGAACTTGCCGGAGCTGCGGGACCGTCACGCGACCGGAAGTTAGGCCACCCTCGCATCGCAAGGATTTATAAGGTCGAGTCCGTGGTCGCGGGAGCTTCCGTCACGACCCTTACGTTCGGTTTTCACGGTCGCACGCGATAACTCTCGAGACTGATCGAAATGATGACGTAAACAGGAAATGTTCGAATCGGAAAAAGTATTTTCATCCTTCTCGAGTGTAAACGATTGATTTCTTTTTGTGTTTCACGTTAAACGTCTCTGGAAATGTTGCCACGGTACGTGTTAAGAAATAAAAACTCGTGTCGTTTATAAAGTATATGGAGGTACATGTTTCGTGTAAATATTTTTTATTTCCTGTTTTAAGTGTCATTTCAATCAGATTCATCGTTGGCGAACCGACTACATTCCTATTCGTCGACACAGTCGTTCATTCCATTCGATTATGTCCATCCCGTGATAAAGGACTCCTCGCGTGGATGCACGTAACAACATCGTATGAATAATAATAAAAAATAAAAAATAGTGTAATCTAGGTTTCATAACGAATTTCTAAACGATAAAAACAAGGAACAATATAATTGAAGCAATTACAGTGGAATTCAATTATGTATAAAGACGCTTCCTTCGGTGACCTACATTTTAAACATCCGTAATTTTGTTACATCTCTGGCAGAGACCGTTTCCTTCCCGACAAGAATTTTATTAACATTCTCCCCGATCGAAAGTAGAAGTAACGGGAACACTTTCTGGATGCTTCGAAGAATCTCGCCTAACTTCGAATTTTCTGAACACATTGCTACCTACCTATAGAATTATCATCATTTATTAGAAACGAAATCGAGGTACAGGAACTTGTAGGTCATGATCGTTCAAAGTTCGCGTCCGTTTATACACCCTTGAATTCGCTTCTGTTTCCGCAGAGAGGAAACGCGACGACCGTCCTTTGTAGTATCCGTGTGCAACCAACCCTCCGTGCATCGGAACCAAGTTGCCGCGTTCTTCTCTTTGACGTCCACCATGACGCCATATTCGTCGGACAATTTTCGATAAAATCAATGTTTACGTGGACCAAGGACCATCTACGTGCACCACGCGCGTACGCCTGTCGTGCGTAGACCGTTTATAAAAAATTTCCCCTTTAGTGGAGGACATGGCCTCTTGTTTGTACCCATGCGCCGTGTACGTACACTTTGTATTATGTTAACGATATAATATCCTATGTTGTAACCTACGGACGTTAAAGCGGATAAGATCACTTTGCGTTCTCCCTTCCATCCATCGACATGGTCAGACCTTTTCGCATCGTGGCTCGTCTAAGCTCGATTCGATTTTCGAGCAACAGCTGACGTTACTTATCACTCCTTGATTAATCCTTCGACGCTGCTTTTCTTCTTCCATTGTTCGATTATATTTTTCAGAAACTATCGCGTGGTACAATCACGAGATGTTTCGTCGAACACTAACGTGTTTCAGATAGGGAAGGGTGAACGAGTCGTGAAGAAGTAAGCAGCCAATTTTGCAGGAATTTTGTAAATATAATCTCCTTTTAATAAACCAATTATAAATTGTCCAGGTATTAAATAAATTCTCGTCGGAATAACTATAATTTCGAGAGGGTTGATAAACGATCGTTCGCATAAAAATACGTCACCACGTGATTGTACTTTGTAACACAAGGGCATTAATATCCGAAAGTTTCAGCAGCGTCTCGACGTTGCGTTAATCACAGTTCCCTGAAAGAAGTGTACATCTTCCATTCGCGGTTCCCTTTTTCTTTCGTCGACAAAAAACCGTAAGAATTAGTTCGCGAAGAGAAGAAGATAGCGAGGTAAGTGGAGCAGCGTGTGTCAGACGGTTCGAGGATATCAAACCATAATCATCAATCTACCGTTTGTATAAGCGATTAAAAATTTTACTTAAAAATCTATCACAAGGTTGCAAATACTTGTCACAGAATTGTTTAAAATGAAACTCAATAAATATTTCGAGTGCCCACGCTATCTTTTCGTTCTCTAGCGATCTGGGACGAAAGCGAAACGAATAGAATCTTTTTCAACGATTTCTATTTCTTTTTTCTACAAACGCTTCTCAGAGCGTTTATTAAAAGATAAAAAGTTCGTCCAGCTTGAGAGAGCCACCCTTATCTTCGTCGAGGGGATACGTCCTCTTCTTTTTCTCACATTTGTCAAACACGTCTCGTGTCTGTTCACCTGTTCTTTTTTTCTCCAAACTCACCGTTTTCTTCGTTAGTCACGAGGTATGCAGAGATAATATGGAGTTCATGTGTGTTCGTGTGTACGCGCGCGCGCGCGCGCACGTGTGTATGTGTGTGTGTGTGTGTGTTTATGTGTCGAATATATTATTTAAATATTTTAAGAAAAAAGTTTTCAGGCACGCAAGTTGGGCAGGGGAGCAGCTCGCAGCGATTTGGAAGTGGACGCTCGCGTCCTTCGAGTCCCTCCCTCTGTGAATCTCCATCGTTGTTTCGTAAACTTTGGATCGAGTTTTCCTTCATTTTTTTTTTTTTTAAATAAGTGTCTGTGTATTCGTGTCTGTAATTCGTGTGAGCGTGTACAGTTCCCTTTTTATTAATTAAGAAGACACAGTCAATCGGGAAGAGGATTGGACCCGTTGTCGATGCTACTGCAAGACTTTCGTTTTTCATATCTGCGGCTATAAAAGTATATAGGCGAGTGGTCCTTGTCGGTCGGCGTTGACCACGAGGCTTGGCTATAGTTGCTATTAGTATTTGGCCTTGTAAACGTTTCAAATTAGCACGGAGGAAATCGATGTTCTGAAATCGAGGGGACGCCGAGAGACGCGAGTCCATTCAGAATTCGTTCTCCGAAGCTTTAGGCAGTCTGCGCACTGTATAGGGGCCTTGTTCAGATTCCTCATCGAATCTCCTTACATCGCTAATAATACTTCTCAATTTCCCGATCGAGAAGCGTAAAGGTTCACCGGAGCTACGAAACTCGACTCGAAGAAACGAACACTAGATACGTGGCACTTTCAGCGACGCGAGACACTAAACTGAAGGACAAACACAGGACGTATTTATACTCCGCGGAACACTTAATAACTGTGAGTCGACTGTACATCGCAGCAGCCTCGCGGCCAAGCCGACGTTAAACCACTGTCAACCGAACACGACTTCTATCGCTAGTCAAGACACTAGTACACTCGAAGATGGACCTGAAGTACTAAACTTCCTATCCCCGACAGAGTACAACGGACAGCCGGGACAGAGATTACACACGGAGAGAAACTATACAGAGAAAAAGACCAATTTCGCTGTCTATCGCGAGAGGGACTCGAAGCTCAGGAGGTACCTACCGCGAGCGTCGTTAGGAGGTCGTTGAACGTCCTTCGCGTTTGTTTCGTATTTCGTTTAATACGAGTGCTGCGGCTGCAAAGACGAGACTCAGCTGTGCGGAGACGTATCAGACCCCTGACTGTTGCCCAATCCTCCCATACCGGACTGCGAGGTGAGCCTGGTGGCCGACTGCGAGGTCGTGGTCGTGGCCACCGTGGAATGTGCCTGGCTATGGTGCCTTCCGGTTTCCGGCACCAGATGCGGCGTCCGACTCGAGACCGGTGGCAGAATCGAGTTCGCCGGCCACGGGTGCAGGGACGTCGTGCTGGGCGCGCTCGGCACGCTCCTCGAGTGTGGCAGCGAGTTCGACAGATTCGCCAAGGGATGATGAGCGGAAACCGAGATGCCCATCGACAGGCTGTTTCCGGTCACGCCGCCACCGCCGCCGCCGCCGCCGCTGCCGCCGCCGCTGGTACCACCGCTTCCCATTGCGACCGCGGTGTCCGGATGGAGGAAGTTGCGCCTCTGTTCTATCCGCTCGGCGTGCTGGGCCAGACACCGGGTCAGCACCTCCGGCAGGAGCTCCACCAAGGCCTGCAGACCGGCCAGTTTTTCTTCTAGGCCGATCAGACGGTCATCGAGACCCACCAAACGCTCTTCGAACGCGTCTTGACGCGTGCTCATGTCTGACACGATCTCGTATACCGTGTTCTGCGTCTGTTTCGCAGAATTTCCATCATGAAATTAGTTTTTATTTTTCATTAAACGATATTAAATGTTAGAACTTGGATTATCCGAATTGACGAGCAATTAGAACGTTCTAAATCGTTCTTGTCCGAAGTTCTAATTGGAGTCAGATAGAGCATTGTTATATCATGTATACGGCGTGGGAAAAAGTTGTACAACAATATATCGAACAATCCGAAATTATTTTGAATGGACACGCAATCAGAGGGGAAAATAGATTTGGGCGGAGGGGAATATTTCTTTATAGTGTGGGTGATAGAAGTCGACAAATGAAGAGCTTGTTCGCGAGCACAAAAGGCAACTGATCGACGTGGCGCGCTGGTATAGTACCGGGGATCTATCGACGAGTTCAGGCCAGGGGGAAATTTAATTGGATTCTAAGTTACTTGCGTGCTGGTACCTTGGCCATATCCGTGATGGTATTGGCATTGTCCATTAATTTTCGCTGATCCATTTTCACTTTCCTGAGTCTGAAAAGGTTCGGTATTATTCGGTTGAGACTGTTGAAACGCTTCTGGTAACCATCAACTTTTACTCGTCTCTCAACCCTTTGACAACGGATACCGTCCTGCCGAGTTCGTCATTAACGTTATAACCAGGCCGATTACAATTTTGGATTCGTGAATCAGACAGTCTGTCTGTATCTATGCGAATTGAGTCCGGCGTCAAGGAGTCAAGTCAAAGAGCTGCTGTTGCGTGTGCACTTACGCGTATATGGCCAACAAAAATTTCCGCTGATGCGTTCGAACACGTCCCGGATTGACACGCTTTACCAGGCGAGTGTGTTTGTAAATTAGCCAAGTTTCGCGCAACACGTTCGCCGCGGCGTTTTTCAACTGTAAGAGAACAAAGTAACTTTGAAAGCTAACAAATCCTCGGACCTGATATCGTAGTCTCCGACAGACACGCTAAGATAGAAAGAAGGCTACGGAGGACAGGTACACAGTTCCAGTCAGGGACGAACAAAAAGCGAGGCAGAACTCTCCCTCACACTTAATAAAATCAATTAAATTAGAAGCAGCAAAGCGAAAGGAAGCTTCGGAAGTTTCGTTGTTTGGAAAAACGAGAAGCAGATAATGCGCGGGACGACGTGGTACACCTTTTACAAGCAATTTCTCCGGTCCATGGTTAATTGGACAAGAATCCAATATCTCTTAGTCGCGATAAAACAGGCTGGAACGCTGCAATTTCAGAGAGACGTCCAATAATCGCTTCGCCGATCGAGAGTCGTGTTTATCTCGAATGCGGGCGAACGAGTTTGTACGTGTACATACGTATGGCGAGAGCAAACGGAAATCGCGTTCCTCTGACCAGTCACGTACGTTACGGGCTTAATAAATTTTCAGAAGATACGCGTAAAAAGAGGCTGTTAATGTTTGCACGCGACCAGGAAGGAAGTGTGAATTCCGCTGGTTGACAATCGCCAATTCTATTATTGTCACTGCCAGTCACTCTGATATTTCCGAAGGTTTCTACGTATCACACGCTATTAGTTAATTCAGTGACCGAAGGTTAAAGTCTTCGATCCAGAGACAGTTCTCGCTCGCATGTTGTTTGTCGACTTTAGTCTGTTTCAATAGTTCATAAGTTCGAAGCCCTTTCTCGCATTAAGGATGTATTGGCTATACAGTCAATCCCAAAAGTATCGGTACTTTAGAAAAAACGCATTTCCTATAATTAAAAAGAAATCAGACGTCGGAAGAATAATGCTAATAATAAATAGCTACGTGCTAAAAAGTATAGACGGAAATATCCAATTAATTATTGATGCTGGTAAAAAGCTTTTTATACAGAAGTTGTAGGCACTGACATCCTCTACAAAGAAAGATTCTATTCATTTTCTCCTAATTTCAGTATTTAACGAGTTCAGTATGATTATTTGGCATTTTATTGGCATTGACAAAATCCGATCATCTCACCGTCGAAACAGCCAATTTTTGACAAAAAATTTCGTTTTCCTTCAATTACTCCTAAACCGTTCGAGATACAAAAAAATTGCATACGACCTTTCTTGTAGAGGACGACGAGATCTACAATTTCTGTATAACAGTTTTTCCCTAGCACCAATAGTTAACGAGTTATTGACGAAAAACGAAAAAACAGTTTTTTGCAAATTACTCGTAAACTATAGACACTAGCGAAAAGTTTTTATACAGAAATTGTAGATCTCATCGTCCTCTACAAGAAAGGTCTGATGAAATTTTCCCGTAGGTCTAACGGTTTGGGAGTTATTGGCAAAAAACGAAAATTTTGTAAAATTTGAAGGGGTACCCCTTGGAAAAATCTCGGGAAAATAAAAAATTTTTTTTTTGGTCAAAATATCGAAAAATATCGAAATATATTCTGAAAAGCGTCAGAAATTCCAGACTTTTTAGGTTTGTATTTCCTCATGTCAGTTGTTTCTTCCAACTTCGCACATTAAATACCAGGAAGTTTTCTTTTGTTTCTGCTGATTAGCATAAGAGTACATGCAAATTTTAAGTCACATGAATTGATTTAAAATTTTGCAGATAGCTTTTTAATAGTAATAGGGATCTATAATAACAAATTCAACGTGCTAGCATTGTTTAAGTATATAGCCTATACATCCTTAATTGACTCGGTACATTTATTGTAATCTCGATTAAGTGAACGCGTACATAGAATTGGCCTATTAAAGACTGGCAAAAATAGAGTGAAATGAAGTTTTTTCTGTACTGATGAAAGTAAAAGCGTATAAAGTTTTATCGCAGACCGTCTAGTCCATAGTCTGTCGCCTTTCTTTCCCTCATTTGTCAAGTCTTTTTATTCCCGAATAAACACCCAGTAGGTCGTCTCCCAGTCTTTGTCTCTTTTAAGAAGCGACTCCCTTGTTCGATCGATCGATCGCGATAGTCGGGCTATCGAGAGCTGAGATAAAAATGACAATGACACATTGAATGTCCCGGTACCTCTGCGCCCGGGCTTGAAAACACGAACGGCGCCATCCACGATCGAACAGAAAGCTCAAATTTAAAATTCCTGTTCGAATCGTTGTTTCAACCTCGTTAAGTGTTCTGTCCCATTTTAGATTTACGTAACGTCTCTCTTTATCTTTACCAGAGGAAAATATCCATTGTCTACTCCCATGCATATTTTAAGCTGCACGTAAGATATTTTTTATCGTGTTTATCTAACCAGTATCAATTTTAAAACACGGCGGGAGGACAAATGGATGTTGAAAAATTTAAATTTTACAGAGAAGTTAAATAGACAATTTGACGACTCGATGCATACAAAATTATGGAAGCTCGCGGCGTTTTCTTTTTTTTTTTTTAATGAAAGTCGTACAACCAGGGAAAGCAATTTGCTTGTAAATGATGTCTAATAATATAAGCAGTGTCTATTGATCCCTAAAAATTCCACATGGAATGAAAACTCCGCAAGTTCACTCGTTAAAACCCCGACTTCTTTCAGCCTTACAGTATAAAGTAAAGCTTATAGGTCTCGTTTCAAATTTAATATACATGGTTTAACGAACAGCACTCCGGCGAGAAAACGACCAAGTAGAGTTCGATGTACAACCATTAAATGTGAATAGGTCTCAAGGAAGTTCTAAACGAACGGATATGCTATCTCCGCCAAGCGAAAATGTCAGCATAATGACTCAAAGGTTAAATACAGTTTCGCGTTTGTTCGAATGAAGGAAAAAGATTAATTCACGAAAACAGGATAGTCGCAACAATTTTTTTTCTTTTCATAAATTACATCAAATGAATGAGCCGTGAGGAGACTGCGACAAGAGAGATATTTTTATTTATTTGTTCTTACCCTTTTCGTCAACTGCGTATCCATCATAAAGTTATGAACATGCTTCTCCGCCCTGGTTAGCTCGAGCTTCCTAGAAACGACCGCCACGAGCAACGCCGTGCATCCGGCGCCCTAAAAACGCCAAACTTACCTGTAAACTCATCCTATACGTTTAATTAGAAATTTAATGCTCTCGTTAATTACAAACTGATTTAACGGATTCCCTCCTCTCGCGATATACACTGTTCAATTGTCCACGAACAGGCCGGTGTTACAGGGTAATAAAATTCAAGTGAAGTTTTATCTCTTCTCATTGAGGGAGTACGCAATTTCTATAGGATAAGTTTACTCGAGTCTCGCCGTCTCGTTAAAAGAAAGAGTACCCAATAAAGATAGGGCCGACGTGGCGAACCAGAACACGTTGGCGCGGTCGGTCCTGACGAACGGATAACATTTGTCAAATGAAATTTCCCGTAAAATTGCCACCATCAAATCGGTTAACGATTTCGCGGCTACGAGATTCCCGTAGATCGGTGAATTAGCAAGCACGGAGCGAGTATGCAGTAACAATAAGGAACAGCGCGCGCTCCCAATGGAGAGATTAGACCCGGCTGTCGCGTTTATCGTCACGATACGTCGCGTCGCGCGTCGCCTCGCTCTAAATGCATCTAAACTGCGCTTTGCATTGCTGCGATGCCGTCGATCGATAACCCTTCGTTTTCCTCATTGTGCTATCTCGTCGAAACGCGTTGAATTTTGTATCCGGTACTTCGAATCCCCGTACAGATTTCAAACTTCTGTCTTGAAAATTATTTTAACAGGCTTGCCAAATGATAATAAATGAATTTCTGTCGTTCAAGATTCTCTAACGCGCTTACTAACACTATCTTCCCTGAGGAACGCGAAAGATTCGTGCAAATCTCGCGAGAATTTCCGTATTAAACTTTCTAGTCCTGGACCTTACCATAATTCCAGTGGAAACGGCTATACCTCGACCACAGTAAGTGTTGGGCACGATGTCACCGAAACCGACGCTCAGAAACGTGATAGCGATGAGCCACATGGCATTAAGGAGATTCGCGAGCTCATCGTCATGAAACCTGCCACCGCAGAACAGAAAACAGGAGTGCGATGTTAGGCGATGTCACAGGATCGTGACGAATGGTCGTACATCTTCGTTTTTATTTCATTTTCATCTTAGAAAACGGGCTGTCGTTGTCTTTATAAACATTTCGCGTCTGATCACAGACGGACTCAGTCTACTTCAACTATCATTCAGCTACAGTGCAATTTACGATTTAATTATTGTAGATACCGTAAACGTTAGAATAAATTTGTGCCGAGAGTTCGATGTGATTTGCATCTCAAGGGAGCGAATCAGAGCGCGAGTTGCAAATACATATTAAAAAGGAATCGTTTCGGGAAAAATGCTGAAAGATTAACGACGCGAGAGGGGTCTTGTTATGATAATGCCGCGCGGCATTGAATCACGTTCTCCTGACTCGTTGTAAATGCGTGCACACGGACGGAACGAGACCTTTTTTTTCTTTCCCGTCCAATCCACGAAATTCATTATCGGAAATCGTTAACCGGCCGGAACGTCAAAATAGTGCGCGTCCTGGACTAATCCAGAGTCGTTAAATCGAACTAACGGGATAGCCGGTGTTACAACAGATTTCTTGTCCGATCCCGTCGTTCTTGAGTTTTACAACGAAACCGAAACGAGATTCCGAAGCGGTAGTTCGACGCTACGAGCTACGAGAATTGATTACGGCCTATTACCCTTCTTTTAATTAGTTTGTTAATTGAACTCTTGTTTAGGAAAAAATGCTGCTTACACGTGTACAGGCGGACTGATTAAAAATTGAGTTTTCATTGTTGGCTAAATGGAAATATGAAAATAGGAGAACTGTCAAAGGGTGTACTGCTGTTATAATTAAATCGTAAGCGTGCTTCTGGGAAATATGTTGCCGTTGAATTTCGTAAATGAATTTCTCGGAGTCGAAAGACGATGGAAAATTACAACTGGAAAAGAGCAAAGAAAAAGGAAATATCGTTTCGGAGATATATACACGAACGAACGTTGAGAAGTCGAATGAAAAGAAATGAAGGAACAGAACAAGAGAGGACGGTGAATCCGTAGACGTTTTATTCGAGGCTAGAGGACCGGAAAAGGTCTATTCATGGACAAGGAAAAAGATAGACGGAGGTTTTACCGAGAATCAATGTCGGAAAGAAAAAGAGAAAGAACATATCGACGAAAATCTTCTATGAAGGTTCATACGAGATCATTTTCAAGTACTACTTGTACGTTCATCGGTGCTCAATTGTCGGAGAATTTAATTACGTAATTATTGTTCTGTAGTGAGTCTTTCCACGAGTGCTTTAACGAGTCTACGCACCTTTCTATTCGTATACGATTTGCGAGGATCACGCACTCGCCGTGCGCTTCCGAGTACGACGACGTTGCAGCATCAATGCTCTCGCGAAGCTATTGTTCTAACGTCGTACGTTATCTACTAGTTTTATTTCGATTACCTTTCGCATTGGCGCAACGTCCACGAGGCGATGATCCACCACGAGACCATGAACACCAGCAACACGGTACCCGGGCATATGGTCATCAGGGTCTTCAGGACGAATCTGGTGTTGAAGTTAATACGATTCAAGGCCCCTATGCTGCGCGACGACGCGTCCGTGAACAGCTTCGAGTGAAGCAGCATTACGCGACAGATGAGGTAGAGTCTGCAGAACATCGGCAGCGACAGGTTGACGTCGTACGGTACCCATTTCGAGCCCAAGTCGCCGCCCTTGTTCGCCAGCTTGGTCGTCCACAGGAAGTAGTACTCGCCCGGAATCGGGTGGACCACACAGATCATTAACTCGAGCGTGATCTGCGCGATCCTCTGCCAGGTCATCGCGATCCGCCAATCGTCCGCGCAGTTATCGATCATGAACAACTGTCAACAACAATTGATATGGTTGGGCAAAATATCTTTTTACAAATTTGGATTTTAAACGAAAATATAAAATCGTGGAAGGTATAACACACATCATTATTATTATTAAAGAATGCAAGATTCCATTCTTTAAATGAACCTCACATAAATTTTACTTTGAATAAAAATTCCCAGTTCTGTAACGAAATTTTTGAAAATGGTATCATGTTTAAAGAGTAGATTTCTCGTTATTCAAAGGTCGGAAAGAGTAGATCGAAAAGGAACAACCGAGCCGTAAAGTACAGAAAATATCGCCGGTAATCTTCGCGGTGCATCGACTCCCGCGTTTCCAGGATAACGACGAGTCCTTCTGTGTAACGCGTTCCGCGGCGGAGCTTTTCAGCGGGCGATGTACGTATCGATAAAACGAATTACGACGTGACACGATGGTCGCAAAGCGATTCCGTGAGAAGAGGTACGTAACCCGGGGCTTTTTGCGACTTTGATTCGACCCTTGGCACCGGGTACCGTCTTCTGCATTTTACGGTCAATTTGTAGCGGGATATCGAGCTCGGCTATCATCACGGGGCCGTGTTTCACCCTTTCGATGTCCCGTATTTTGTAGCTTCGCGGTGACTGCTGTTTATTGCGACCGATGTTCGTAAACGTGCGAAACTGTGAAGGATGAAGGGTACCATTTGAGATTCTATACCACTCCGCCGACTGCCTTTTACGGTTTATTCGATATTCGCCGTTACCGGGAATTTGTGTCACTTCCTTTCGTATAAATGAACTTTCTCTCTTTCTTGACGATTTGAATATCCCACGTCGAGCCTCGCGATTATTCTAATTACATGCTCGAAATATTTCAACGAGATATCCTCACTATTCCAACGTTCTCAAGAATCAATAGAGAGCAGACTCGAAGAACTTACGGTGGAATTTGAACAACGTAACAACTTCGTCGGGCGCTAGAACATGATGATAGAAAAATCACCACATGTATCTTTATTAGAACACTATAATTTGTCGATTAAATTGATACCTGAATGATAAAAATATTAATCACAGTAAACTGAATAAATCTTAAAAATGATATCGCAGACAATTAATATCCGGAAGTGATTCTGCGTTTTAAGGTCATAGTATTATTCCGGTTCGATCGAAATATTTTATTCGTAGGCGTCTTGGAACGATAGAACAACTGAAAATCCGACTCGGAACTTTTCTAGCGTTTGTCGCGCACTCCAATTTGCTAATAATGATGAAAACTCGGTCACGGAGGGGGAGAATCGAAAATCAATAAATTCGTGGGGGTGGTCAACGGGGAGGAACAACGGGGATGCATCGTTTGGGATTCTGGAGAGATCGTTACGTCGATCAGCGCGCGAGTTCGAGGACACCTCGCGAGCATCGTTCGTTACGGCGAGGCAGTAGGTAGATGGCCAGGTGATCACCGGGAAATCTGCGCATGCAAATCGTTGATAAACGACAATCAACAGGTGCTGAAAGGTCAACGGGCCATTAGGCTCGAATCCAACTGTACCGCCGCCGCCGCTCTGCCGTTGCGAGACCTCTCGTTCTCGTTTTCCCTCGCGAGAAGGGGTTGCGCGCCCTTCGTTAAAATCAGACCGCGCCACCACTTTGTCTCTCCGTCCTGTCCCTTTGTGCTTCGGTAAACGTTCATTGAGAACCAGTTAATTCCACGGAAAATGTGTACACGTCGAGTTACGTGACTCGTTTCTGTCAATAGTTTCGTGTTCGCGTTTGCACAACGAGTGCCGCAGGTATGAAAACCGATCTGCAAACTTGTACGAACGTGATCTGTACCTCATTTTCTTCGAACTATATTATACATGCTGTCTTTTTATGATCAAAGAATAGTCTGATATTTCTCTGTGCATATTTATTAAGAGATGTTCTTTGACAAGTATTCTTCCCGTGAAGAATCGACGCAAGTATTAAAGACTGCGTCTTTCAGTCTATCTAAAAATTTTTCTTCCTTGCACGTTATTACGCTGGCTGTCATTTCTGGATGCGCGCGACACGAACGGGAACGGTGCAATATTCTTCCAAACGACATCCGACAGGGCATCGGTCGATTCGTCTCGAATTTCTCGAGCGAAAACGGAATGACGTTTGAAATGAAATCGAGTGTCCAGCGGTCCGGTCGTTTCGAAACGAATCGGAAACATTGTTTTCTCTCTTGGAGTAAAGCGGGACGGCGCAGTCGCCCTACTCCAACTAAAATTTTGGCTTATCTAACATTGTTACCGTCGGCTAAACTGGAAGCATGGGAAACATCATAGCTGCGAACCATGTTCTGGCACTGTCGTCCGGCGGGATTTAAAACTATTAGGGTACACGATACCGTCTCGGGTTAAATGAATTTCGCTTGTTATACCTCGGCGAGAACGTAGCCCGGGAAGAGTAACGACGATCTCGGTGCTTATGGTGAAATTCTGTTACCCATACTTTATTACCATTTTGGATATTAACACCCACGCTAAATTTTCGTATAGAATTTCCCAACATGCTTCCACTGGAACTTTAATCGGCAACACATTTCAGGCATGCTTAATCTTTAATTAAGAGATCCTGTAGAGAAACAAAGTCGAAGACAGAGCAACTTTGACATGGTCATCAACAGTAACACGAAACCACAAATATGGCTTGGGTCACGGGAAAATGGAATGGAAACATTCGCGATCCTGAAAGTAATCCACGAAATTAGAAACCAGGATGGGACTGGAGACGCCGTTTCCGGACCGACTCCTTTATGAATGTCCACCGTTTTCCGACTACTCCGGGTCCGTTTATACGCGACGACCACGAGCAAATCGGCTTTATTCCCGTCCACGCCTCTCGACGCTCCACAGCCCTTCCCTACGAAGATTACTGTTGTAAAGCCGAATGCTGCGCCGAGCATTTATGCTAAATTACTCGACAGAACGCGATACGATAGCTTCTTGCCTGGAACCGAACAATTTAATGATGCGGCCAACGTTGCCGCAAGCAGTTTCCAGTATAAGGCAAACAATAGTAATTCGAGGGACTTCATTTAATAATGAAATATGGGAGCATTCAATGATTACAGCAATTATCTTCAATGATGCGATTTTTTAATTTACGATATCAAATGATAACGAATTTTCACAGGCAGTCATGGTAGAACTCGAACACCAAGGAATTAAATTCAAATTTCGACAAGCTAATACTCATAACAGTTAAAGCTGTCCCGCGAGATTTTCGTGATCTCGAAGAATCGCGTGCCGCGTATCCATTAAAATTCGTAATACTCGTGATCGTTTACAGTTTACAACGTTCGTTTCCGTTTAACGGGATTAGCTGCTCTTATGAGATTCTGGCTGGCTGACTTAGCCGGTTACGTGGTTAGATCTACCTTGAACCGATTCACAGCCGCCGATTATGTAAACTCGATAAGCTTAAACGCGAGGTTGCTAACGTATTTCATGAAAATTGACCGGTACATTTCCTAATAGAAATTTTCCTTCTAAGTACCTCCGTTTCTTTTTATAGACCACTAGGGGACTCGTAAAATATTTTACGTTTCACTTGATATTTTAAAATTTAAAAGAAATCCGATACATAAATCTATGTAAAGTGTTTAATCGTATTACGATAATGAACAACGAGAGAATGAAATTTAGGAAACAGAATGCAACAGCGTTCGTATTGAAAATTCAGAGAGCAAGCGTCGAGATAAATCGATTTTCATGCTGCTTTGGAGAGGAGGATAAATAGTGATAAAGTAAATAATTGTTGTACGCGAGCATTGGTAATGCTCTTAGGAAAGCTTTCCCCGATGATTTCCCAATGTAAAATTGTTACACATCGAACTGTTTATACTGCCTCGATTGCCGGTTCTCGAAATCACTCATTGAACACCCATGTGTGCAATTTTATCTGCTCGCTCTCAATTCGCCAACAATTGTGATAACGTTATATTCGTTATAACGTCTGAACGCTTCATAAAAAATTTTATAAAGAATTTTTCACTCGTTCGGATTTGCCAAGTTTAAAATTAGAGACGTCATCGGTCCTGATGTAGGGGTGGCGGATTGTCATATAGATTACTCTTCGACGATCAAATCGCGCGATGTTCGATCAAATTCAGCTGGTTCTAAACGGATTTATCTCAAATTCAAATTCAAATTCGAAGCTTGACGAATACGAATTGACCTCTGATAGACAAGATGTAGAATATGAATTGGACGTTGTCGAATAACCGCTCAATCAGTTTGCACGACACTCGGACGCTTTTAATCAATCATCAAAGTTATATAAGAAAGTCAATTATCTATTATTCTAATCTCGAAACTACAAGTTTAATGCGTAAACAGGAAGAGATATTTCAGAGAAGCAGTGTGTACAAAAACGACGTTCCGTCTGATTGTGAGCCAAGTTTTGGGACACTTTTCTCGATATTCCATAAATTTTGTCACGGAGTCACGTTCGGTACACAGGAGTACGCGTCCTCTTTCTATTCTTGCTCCTCACAAGGCACAATGGAGTCGTATTTTCCACCGATTTCTCCGCGCCTGATCTACATTCTATCGCTGTTCAAATTTATCGCGGAACGTCGCGGAACAAGCGCGAAAATTCGACTTGGGCCTCGAGATTGCGTCGGGATTCCGTTCCCCACGATCTACCCGGTTCAGGAGCAGGGAATTTAAACGAGCCGATTAGAAAGCACGAGAAAAATCGCCCTTGTTTCTCCTCTCTCGGTCTGAAATACAATCTACGCGCTCGGTTCCAGTGAATTCTGCAGGTTTTTAATAATGCACAGTGTCGGATTCGTACATTTTCCATGGCATAGATTTAAGCAAATCAATTTCAGTTTATTTAAAACGGTGTTACTTATTTCTTCTGGTAACACATATTCTCGCGAGTGAAAAACTGAATCGGCGTTATTTTTTATGGTTTTTAATACGGTTTCAACGTCTCGTTGTAATGACCATTTTTTTTTTTTATTACATAATGTATCGACCGTCGGGTAATTTTTCTCGCGTTGCCCGACTTTACTACTCCTTTTGTCTCGAACAGGAAGAAATGATAAAAAAAAAAAAAAAAAACGGCTGTCGATTCGATCACTCGCATGCAGCCACTCTTTGTCGATTTTAACGCGACGCGACGCACGGACAGGCGTGTAAAGATGGTCGATTGGTCGAGTGTCCTGTCATGCGCGTTATTACATCTGCTCTCTGTTTCATAGAAATATATAATAAAGTTTATCGATTCTTTGTTCGCGTGTCGCTGGCTATCCTCCTATCCGTGAAAGCGCTCGTCTATCCGAGACGTCTTCAATTCTCCAGACGACGTCCCGTCTTTATTATTACTGTGATCTTAATTATTTAAATCCTGCTCAGGATGAACGCGAATTAAAAACGCCTATCTGCGACACTAAACTAATAATCGTCTTGTTAATCCAGAAGCGACTCGTCGTATATTTCTGAAGCGTTGTTTACGCGAGATCGCTTCCTTGAATGCGAAATGAGAACAGTCGTTTAACGGCCAGGTATCACGGACTCGGTTTCAGTTCGCTTTAAAATCCCGTCTTAATCAGTCGGTAAATGGAGGACAGCTGGAGACGATGTCGACACGACGCGCATTACGTCACTCGGCCAATTTCAGTCTCGAACGAACGTTTAAGAGCCAAGTTAAATATTGACGCCGAAGGGAAAGATGTTCGAGTCAAAAAGGTTCTCGATCCACCGCTTTCGACGTTGGACGTCGAAAACCGTGTTTGCGCGAGCTAACAGGCCATTCTTAATTTCAAACTTTGCCGTGCCATCGAACGGTCGTGTGTATCCACGTGCAAACCCACTTGATTCTCCGTGAGATGCTGACAGATTCGGTTCAAATACGATTCCCTAAATCGAATCTTCGATGGACTCGTCCGTTCACCATAGGAGATGTCACGTACCAAGAAGAGAGTGAATCAATGCACATCTTACTGTATAAATCTTGTATTCTTTATTCAAACGATCGATTTTAATTTCACGTGTTCGGCATAACGGAACGTAGCGTAATGCAAGTCCACTCTCGGTTGTAAATGTTCCGATAATGTACTGCACTGAAGGAACTGCGCTGTACCGAACCATTATCCTATTTCACGTTGCACGCCAGCGGCATTCGGATTGTCCAAAGTCCAAATACTACCAATAGTATCGTTTGATCAACGAGCAAGACATTCGAGCCACTATCTCTTGTCAAATGAATATCTATCCGTGATATCATTTATTCTCCTAGATAAATGGAAGATCGACAATCAGTCGACGCTTTGGGAATTAGAAGAAAACGGGCCCGCGGTTATCGCGGTCGTCGCGCGTCTGACTTATAGTGGCTTATACTACTGCGGGTGAATATTCATTTGTTCGGTTATCCAATCCGTGACAGCCAGGTCTATCGTCGATTATTTATGAGTCGAAAGGATTTGTCAGGCTTAAGATGAGAAATGTTGGGTCACGATCCAAGTGGTATTAAAAAATGATGCTTCTTTTCCGCGGACTGATCGCTCTTCTCAGGCCTGTCAGGCTTGAGCAGCGGTTTCGCAGATGTACCGGATCTCGTTTGCGTCAGGCCGCAAAACGGAACGTAGTTTCGTCGCGGGAACCATGTCGTTGCACGGTTATTATGCAGCGGCGCACGATAACGCAATTAGATCCGCGCGCGTACCGGTATGCCACCCGATGCGCGTTCGTCATCGCGAACAATTCGCAATTTTCTCCCTGCCGGTAGTGGTAATCGAGTTAACCAACGCGATTCCGTATTTAACGCGATAGGAAATTCAGGGACGCGGAACAAGCGACCGTTACAATGATTATGTTCCTCTCGCAATCCGCGATACAGGTTACTACGGGGATGGTTATCGAGCATTTACGCAGAATTACCGGTGAAACTCAGAACCAGACCTTCTTTTCATCCGCTTTATATTCACGTACGAGTACTGGCTGTTCGTGAATGAAACAATAGACGAGTGGGTTTCCGAACAATTACAATTTTTTCTCATTGTGCAAAGTAACATTAGAAACCTCTGAAACGACTGCACCGAGACGATCCGACTAATTATAAGTCGCTAACTTCGAAAACATATTTGTTTCGATGCGGCATACAAGCTCGTTAGTATACTCGATTCTATTCCAATCGAAAAAAATTATACAGATTCCAAATATTCGTTAATAACGGCAAAATCTAATCGGAGCTGTGTATGGCGTAACGAAGGCGAATAAATTTGCGACTTATCGGTCTGCAATGGCCGGTGTCGACGAAAATATAATAAAGTCGGTACTTCATGAAAATTCATGTCGATCGCAAACGACGCAGTGACGGAGGAGAATTTTAACGAGCCATTTGCGCCCATTGTTACGTGTGGTCGTAATAAATGAGATATACGTGGCACGGCGTGGAGGCGATTACCGTGTAAATTATTGAATAACGTCGATTCGTGACTCGTGTCACATATTTTCGAGTTTAACATTTTAATGTCGTTTCCGCGTGGTAGAACGACTTTAATTTAATGAATTCTCCCATTCCACCGATGCAACAAGTAAATTAATACTCAGATTCAAGACTTACGCAAGCGGTACTAATGATTAAGTAAAGACGGTATGAAAATATTTGGAATTAAAACTTGCGAACAGTCGTGGAATCGTTTTGATACTCCTTTCACAGGGATTCGAGAGTCTGAATCCTCTTTTAGTTATTAAATCTTCACTTACTTACCGTCGCGACAAATTATCGCCTCGACGATATTCATTATTCACCGCGACTTCGCCGCCGCTCTCGTCTATCACTTTTGTGCCGACGGAATTTCACGGTCATTAATCAAATCTGTAATCAAGAGGCGGCGAAAAGTAGACCTCTGCCTGGGAAGCCGGATAATTAGTTTTGTATCCATTGTTCGATTTATCGAATTAGACTTGGAGATTATTATTAAGTACGCTCGATTCCCTGCCAAGAATTATTGCCAATCATCCTTTAATCGTTCAAAATGAGAACTCCGTAAATTTTGCTTTCTTTGGAATTCAATGCGGTCGCATATATATATATATATATATATATATTTCTTTTCTTATAAAAGACGATCGAAGCGTTCCATGTTTTAAAATGAAATCCCACAGGTGCGCAGAACGATGCGACATTTTATGTACATGTATGTCGTACAACTTCCATCTAGCCGCGTTACACATGTGAAATTGTTTCTATGCTCGGGATAAGGACAGTAACTCCGGAGTCAACGGAATTTTTTCTATACGCACCTGAACTTCTAAGGCATGGTAAGCAAATATGAGGCCAAGCAGTATCACAGTAGACACGGAGATCAGGGTTTTCAGTGCTGTCGAGTAAAACGAGGCCTGAAACATATAAAAACGTTGTCCTCGTAAATTTCAGAGTCGAAACACACACGCGTAAAATGTCTCCATTTCTTACGGTCGCATCTAAATTTACACCGCTCCTCTTTTCGGTAAACACGTTGACATTTATTCAAGGGGACGACAAATATTAATCTATTCTGGGTGTTCGGAATAAACATAGCAAATTTATGTGGTACATTAAAAATAATAAATGCATCTGTTACGTTTATTAGTATCTCAGCTACCTCTTTATGCTGAACTTTTGTTTCGACTACTATAGAGTGAAGTTTAACAACGTTGTTCTGTAGGACAATTCGTCAGAAACAGTTTATTTTAATCTTGTATCTGAACGCGGTCGATATCGATAATTAATATCGCTGTTCATATTCGCCGTTCATAATTCCTGGAAATTTCACTCCAACCCGACTGTTCTGTTAAGTATGTATTGGCTATACAGTCAATCCCAAAAGTTTATGTACCTTAGAAAAACGCATTCCCTATAATTAAAAAGAAATCAGACGTCGGAAGAATAATGCTAATAATAAATAGCTACGTGCTAAAAAGTATAGAAGAAAATATCCAATTAATT